GAGAGAGAGAGAGAGAGAGAGAGAGAGAGAGAGAGAGAGAGAGAGAGAGAGAGAGAGAGAGAGAGAGAGAGAGAGAGAGAGAGAGAGAGAGAGAGAGAGAGAGAGAGAGAGAGAGAATATGGATTTCAATATCATAATTGCTACTATGATCGATTCCCTTGTTAACTTTTATTTATCATAATTAGAACGTAGTCTTGAATGTTTCTAGGCAATATCAAGAATAAAAATAACGAAATAATACCAAGGCAAAGTAGCTAGATAACTGGACGAATTATTTGGCAAGAGGGCGGGAAGATAAGCATAAAAATAATAATTGTAAAACGAAGCTCATTTCGAGACAAAGACGAATAAACAGCATGATGTGTATACTGCATTAGCCAAGAAAGCGTGCAGTGCGTGGCAGCCCAAGCAGTCGACGCGAGGAACGAAAGGCTCGGTTCCTTCGCCCTCGACCCGAGGAGCGCCAGCACGCCAGCTTTTCTTCAGGCAGCCCAAGCGGTCGACGCGAGGAACGAAAGGCTCGGTTCCTTCGCCCTCGACCCGAGGAGCGCCAGCACCGCAACTTTTCTTCAGGCTCTGCTGGAGCACGTAGCACTTTATGATCGCGGTCTTGGGCAACGCGCAAACGTGCATATAATCTCCACAATGGATTTCTTTCGTTGCAGTTTTGTGTTCCGTATGAGGCGTTTTTCTCTTCATTTTCTTTTAAAGTTTATAATGAACTTGAAATAATCTCGTTTTGGGAAGGCGCTTGCGCTGGCGTAGCGATCTGTCTGAGAAGCGTCTCGAAGCGGGGAAGTTTAGGGAAATGTTAGGCTTGTGATCCTACATGTGAAAAAAAAGGAAAAAAGGTAGCATAATGTGAAAAAAAAACATTGGGCGTTCATACTTTTATACGAAAAGCTACCAATACTGTGACCTACATTCTTTAAAAGGTCATAAAATGACGACCTTTTGTAGTTAACCCAGGATAATTTTTTTTTTTTTTTTGCTCAATGACCCCATTACGAAACGTGTCATGGTTACCTCTACGCAACCAGATCCGCCCACCGTTCAAAGGGCAGTGATTGCGCACTAATCGTTATAAAAATACTCGATATTTGAGTCGTATAAAGGGAGAAGTGACACTGGAACACGGGACTCGTGGGCGCATGTTTGAATGTTACTCGTGGTTTGTTTGGTATTTCTGTTCAACAAAACAAAACAAAAAACAAACAAACAAACCCCCCCAAAAAACGATGTATGTTTTGTAGACCCTTACACGCGTTGTAGAATGTAAAGGTGACTGTATAAATGTAAGTCTAGTGATGGCACTTTGAACCTTTCTCTTGGAACTGGTAAGAAATGGCAGATCAGACAGAGAAACCAAGGAAGAGACCTAATTAGACTCCTTGATTCACGGCCTATGGTCAAATTACATCCCCATTAGATAGGCCTTGAGCAGTCCCTAAGCCTAGCTACTCTGTGTGAGGTGCGGAGTGAGGGACCTGGAGGGCGGGCTGGACTTCCCTCGGAGTGAGGAGGAGCCGTTCCACGCTCTCGAGATGCGCGCTCGGCTGTGGAAAGTCTGCGTGCCGCTGCACCCGTTTTAGCTGCGACTTTCTTCAGTACGGGTTGTGATGCGATATGTGTGTGTGTATATGCGTGTATATATATATATATGTATATATATATATATATATATATATATATATATATATATATATATATATATATAATATATATATATATATATATATAATTTTAAAAAAAGAGTTTAACTGTAGAATATTGTAACCGTTCCTCCTTTAATACTGTTTTCGAAAAAGTGTTAACCTGCCGGCGCCAAGCTGCAGATGCATAACAGGGGAAAAAGTAAAGTAAAACAGAAACTAAGAGCAGAAAGAGCGCTGAATCTGACAGCCGAAGATCAATGAATATTCCGTGTCAAAGGCTGAAGGACAGACGAAGCGAAGGCGATCTTCTGGGCGTGTCTGTCGCGTGAGTGTAAAAGTGGTGTAGGTGCTGCGTGTGTGGCTTACGTGGCGCTACAACTAAGGGTTCTTTAAGGCTCAATTGCTGCATGTTTGTTAAGAGGAAAGTGATGTTCAAAAGAGGTTAATATGAATTATTTACATCTATTATAATGCAAGGGTTAGTAATTTTTAAGTTGGCTACATACATTTAATCTCAAATCTACCAGGCAGGTTTAAATTGACTGTATTTACACTCTATGGTTATATATGCATACATGATATTGATATCTTACCTTATGCTTTATCTTACTTAAATTACACTCAGCACATAAGAGGAACCACCACATTTTCTTTTTACACAGAGTCCAAGAGGCGAGGAAGCCAGAGCAGTGGCGAAGGCAACAAACATGTGATGGTTCTTCTTAGACGCCGATTCATAAATGCAAAGACTGCGTCCACTTCTACATACCTTCGGAGATGATGTGAAGGGCGGAGACTATGGCCATAGCTTGCATCATGATGGGAATTCGTATCTGATGGCGCAT